TGCTGCTGCTGCTGCTGTTCGTTTGAGCAGCTGCAGCCAATACACCAGGCTCTCTTAGTGGGGGGTCGGAGGGCCCTTATTAACACTGCATCTCTGCTGATGTGACGGGGGCTGTGGTTCTTAGTTTTGCTGCTGCTGCTGCTGCTGCTGCAGCAACAGCAGCGGCTGCTGCTGCTGCTGCTGTTGCCTCCTGTACCCGCAGCAAATGCTTCTTGGACTTGGCTGTGGGCAAGCTGCTGCTGGGGGGGCTCAGCAGCAGCAGCAGCACCAGCAGCAGCAGATGCAGCAAGAACGTGAGGAGATGCAACAGCAACGGCAGGCGCAGCAGCAGCAGCAGCAGCAGCAGCAGGTGCGGCAGCAGCTGCAGCAGCAGGGCCGACAGATGGTGAAGCAAACGTAACTGCAGGAGGATGCATACGTGCTGCTGCGTGTATCCCTTTTGCTGCTGCTGCTGCAGCAGACTTGACGACAGATGAAGCTGCTGCTGCTGCTGCTGCATCAGCAGCATGCGCTGCTGCCTTAGCAGCAGCAGCAGCAGCTGCTGCTGCAGCCATCTGCTCTTTCTTTTTCGTTTCTTGCAGGTTAATATGAAGACGGGGAGACGCTGTCGAAGCAGAACCAGCAGCAACGCCGCCTGCAGCAGCAGCTGCTGCTGGCGTTGCTGCTGTTGCTGCTGCTGCTGCTGCTGCTGCTGCTGCTGCTTGGGGGCTACCCCGCCTGGGTTTGTGCCCCTTACATAGAGATGTCGCTGGCCGTGTGAAGCTGCTGCAGCAGATGCGGTCAGTGCTGCTGCTGCTGCAGCAAGCATCTTGTGGAGCGCCTTGCAGCTGCTGCTGCTGCTGCTGCTGCTGCTGACTGCCACTAGCGTGCTGCTGCTGCTGCAGCAAGGACGGCTGAGCAGCAGCAGCAGCAGCAGCAGCAGAAGCAGCAGCAAAACTGTGCAGCAAGTTCTCGCTGCTGCGGCTTCTGCAGCTGATGGTGTGGGTTCCCGGAGGCTTTGCTGTTGCTGCTGCTGCGTAGAAGACTTGTCTGCTGCTGCTGCTGCTGCTGTTGCTGCTGCTGCTGCTGCTGCTGCCTTTGAGCTGCGTCTTTCCTCCTTTACGCCGCTGCGGATTTGGCGGCAGCTGCTGCAGCAGGGCCTCCCGTTCTTCAGCAATAGCTGCGAGCGTTTGCTGCAGCAGCAGCTGCTGCTGAGCTGCTCCTGCTGCTGCACCTGCAGCGAAACAACAGCAGCAGCAGCAGCAGCAGCAGCAGAAGTTGACATTCAAACAGCAAGACAGCTCGCGAGGCGCCAGAGCTTCATCCCTTCTGCTGCTGCTGCTGTTCAACCCCTTTGCTGGGCTGCTGCATATATGGCTAGCTAGCTGCCTGGCTACGCAGCTAGCTAGCTAGCTAGGTAGCTAGCTAGCCAGACAACAAGCAGGCGCTTAGCTAGCTAGCTGAGTTGAGAGGGCATCGAACCCCCGAAGAAAAAAAAGAAGAAATAAATATTGTGCTGCACTCCTGCTTTATCTACCCCTAGCTAGCTAGCTAGCTAGCTAGCTAGCTGCTGGCTAACTGCTGGCCACCTGCTAGCTAGCTGGTCGCTACGCGGTGGGTAGGTGTTGGCTAGCTGTTAGCTAGATGTATATACAGCAGCTAGCTTGCTAGCTAGCTAGCTAGCTAGCTAGCTAGCTAGCCACTGGTGGTGAGCATTGGGGGGGCACTACACAACGCGGGTGGAGGCAGCTGCAGCACGGACCTGAACAAAAGTTTTGGTGCTGCAGCAGATGCTGTTGCTGCTTCTTCTTCTGCTGCTGCTGCTGCTTCTGCCTCGGCTTCTGCTGCTGCTGCTGCTGCTGCTGCCGCAGACGTCGGAGGGAGAGACCGCGAGCTGACTCTCCGCCGGCCCCCTTCAGAGCAGCTGCGCCCCTCTCCTGCAGCAGCAACTTGCTGCTGGGACCGACAGCAGCAGCAGCAACAGCAGCAGCAGCAGCAGCAGCAGCAGCAGCAGGTGCCTGACCGGGCGCAGCTGCAGCTGTCAACGCACACAAGAAGACAGTCTCGCTTGTGTTACCTTCAGCAGCAGCAGCAGCAGCAGCAGATGGAGATTCACTAGGTGCAGCAGCAGCAGTAGCAGCAGCAGCAGCAGTACCAGCAGCAAGAGCAGTAGCAGCAGCAGCTCCAGCAGCAGAATAAAACAGCAGCAGCAGCAGCAGCAACGCTCACTATCTAACGTTTGCTGCTGCGTCAGCTGCAGCGATGAGATGCAGCTGCAGTGTTGATGCTGGGGCTGGCTTCGTGCTGCTGCTTCTGCTGCTGCTGCTGCTGCTGCTGCTGCTGTTGGTTCTGCAGGGGCAGCAGCAGCGGCAAGCCGAAGCTCCTCCTCCCAAGTGCAGCACGAATTAGCTGCTGGTGCTGCTGCTGCTGCTGGTGCTGCTGCTGTCTCTTCTGCTGCTGTTGCTGCTTCTACCGTTTGGTGCCCTTCATTCCATACTACTGCTTTTGCTGCACCTCTTACTATAACGCTGTCTGCTGCTGCTGCTGCTGCTGCTGCTGCTGTCGGTACTGCTGCTGGCGGTGCAGCAGCAGCAGGAGCAGCAGCAGCCAGGTGTGCTGCTGTAAATTGTGTTTCTGCTGGGGCTACTGCATTTGGTGCTGCTGCTGCTGCTGCTGCTGCTGCTGCTGGTGTCCTTGCTACATTGGCTGTTGGTTCTGGTGGTGCTGCAGCAGGTGCTGCTGCTGCTGATGCGTGTGCTGCAGCAGTTGCTGCTGCTGCATCTGCTGCAGCAGCAGCTGCTGTTGCTGCAGGGAACCTCAAGGCAGATAAGCTCTGGGGATTTTCAATAAAGGAGAAGAATGCTGACGTCTGCTGCTGCTGCTGCTGCTGCTGCTGCTGCTGC